TATGCCTAAGATGTTTGAAATGCAGTGAGATAGTGAGGTTAAGATTGATAGCCTAAATCATTTGATAATAACAATAAGCTTTTCTTCTGGATGGGTAACACATGGATGCCATCTGGAGAGAGCAGAAGACAAACTTTACTTAGCCTTCCTACCTTGAACTGGCATGCAGTTGTATCCTCTTGGGAGCTCATGAGCGGTGTGCTTACTCTTATTGTATGTTTATAAGCTAAAGGAGTAAGAGATTTGACTTTTAACTGCAAAGGAATTGAAATTATCCCATGCATGTTATCGGACCATTGTACAATGAAACTGAAAATTACTGACAAAAGAAATTGCATAGGTTCCATAAACACAGGGAAATTAAACAACCCACTCCTGAACAGCTAATGGGTCACAGATGAAATTAAAGAAAAAATTAAATAATATTTACAGTCAAATGAAAATGTTGACACAATTTACCGGAATCTGTTGGCTACAATGGAAGCAGTCCCAAGAAGGAAATTTATAACAGCAATTTCTCACATAAGGGAAACTGAACAAGCATAAATAAACTTATACTGCATCTCTAGCTTCTAGGAAAAGAAGAGCAAGTCAAGCTCAAAGCTCAAAGAAGGCAGGAAATTATAAAGGTCAGAGCAGAAATTAATGCAATAGAGACAAAGAAAACAACATAAAGAATTAATGAATCTAAAAGTTGGTTATTTGAAAGAATAAAGTTGATAACCCCCTAGCCAACCTTATAAAAAAATGGAAGCAAAAACTTAAATTCATGCAATAAGGAATGAGAAGGGTGAAATCACTACCGATCCTATAGAAATTCAGAAAATCATCAATATCTACTTTGAAACCCTTTACTCTCATAGGAGGAAAGCACAGAAGAAATAGACAGATTTCTAGATACATATGAATTAAGTTGAATCAAGATATTAAAAACTCTGAATAACCCAATATCAGTCAATAAAGTTGAAAATGTAATTAAAAAAATATACCAGCAGAGAAAAGCCTAGCTCTTGATGGATTCACAGCTTACTTCTCCAAGATACTTAGAGAAGATTTAATGCCAAGTCTTCTCAAACTTTTCAATGAAATTGAATGGGAAGCAATATTCCCAAACTCATTCCTAGAGGCAAGTGTTACTCTGATACCAAAACCAGAGAAGGACTCAATCAAAAAAGAGAACTACAGACCCATTTTCCTAATGAAAATAGGTACAAAAATCCTCAATAAACTGTTTGTAAACACAATGCAGCAAATCATTAAGCAGATTATGAACTATCACCAAGTAAGATTCACCCCAGGAATGCAGGGATGGTTCAATATATGCAAGCCAATAAATAGTAATACATCACATCAACAGAGCCAAAGACAAAAATCACATAATCATCTCAATGGATGCAGAAAAAGCTTTTGACAAAGTCCACTCTCACTCATGATAAAACCCTACAGAAAATCAGAATAGATGGTTTTTACCTGGTAAAAGCCATCTATGACAAACAGCCAACATCATACTGACTAGATAAAAATTGAAAGCTTTCACTGCAAAATCAGGAACAAGACAAGGATATCCACTGTCATCACTCCTGTCAAGAAAATTCTGGAAACAGTAGCCAGAGCAATTAGACCAGAAAGAGAGAAAGAAAAGGAATAATGATTGAAAAGGAAGAAGTAAAATTATGATTATTCACAGAGAACATAACACTCTATATAGAAGACCCCAAAACCTCTACCAAAAGACTTGTAGATTTAATATCCAAATTCAGTAGAATAGCTGGATACAAAGTCAACAGTTGAAAAACTAACATTCCTATATATAATAATGAACACTGAGAGAGAAATTATGGAATTGGGACCAGGGAGATGGCTCAGTAGAATAAGCTCTTGCCTGGCAAGCGCAAGGGCCTGAGTTCAATCCCCGGTTCCACCAAAAA